AGCCAAGCGATATTTGTCATCTTATTTCATGATTGACGTTATAACAGTCCTTCCACTCCCACAGGTTCGTGTCCTCAAAAGTTTGTGTTTTTTTTAGCATTCTCTTAACTTAAAGAGAGTATGATTAACCTTGTTTTTGTGCAGATTGTGATATTGATTATCGCTCCCAATGTGAATGGCCCCATTGCTCTGGTGACGAAAGAAATGTTGAAGATTGTAATTTTTGCTCAATATGTTCCAAGATTTTGTAGAATTATTCCATTGTACAAAGAAGTAGAAAGGACTTCAATCTTCTTTAATAACGAAAATGCATGGGGTGGAACTGCTTTCTACCTTTTCCTCAGGGGCGGCTCAAACCCGATGGTGGCCTAAGGCCAAACTCAAACTAGAGGCCTTAAAAAAATTATAAATATTTTTATTTTAAATCAATTTTTCTATTTTTTTTAGATGCAAAGTTGTTAATAATTTTTGTGTAGTCAATCTCTTCTAATAATTCTTTTTCAATCGATAATATAGCCAAACCACTTAATCTTTCTTGAGACATTGTCGATCTTAAATAAGTTTTTTTTATTTTTAATTTTTAAAAACTTCTTTCAGTTGAGGCTATTGTTACGGGAATTGTTAACATTATTCGATAAGCAATGTAAGCATTTGGAAAAGAATCAAGTCTTTTTATTTGATTGAGTATCTCAATTAGAGTATTGTCTTCTACTTTTATGATTTTCCTTAACACTTTTAATTCAGAAAATAAGTCTAAACCATCAATATCGGAGTGAGTATTATGTTTTAAGGATCATTCAAGATTAAGACAATATTTTTTTAAAATTCTCATCATCAAATGATCTCAATTTCTTCCCACTAAATAGAAAACCAAAAATATTTTCATATACTTCAAATTGTTCAAATCTATTTTGAAGTGAAAAGATGGCTTGGTCTATTATGTATAAGAAGTAATCAACTCTAAATGATTTGGGCTGCTGCAATATATTTTTCTCCAAATTTAAAATATAAATTATCAATAGAACAAGTAAATTCTTAATCTTTGAATAAGAGAGATGTAAGATTAGAATTTAGAGAAGAGAAGTGGGAATAAATAGAAGAGAGGAAGGGAGGAGGATAGAATATATAAAAAAAAAATAACTTGTACATTAAGAAAAAAGTACACAACTTTTTATTGAAAAGTTAAAAAGTCAGAGTCATAACTCATATATATCACTTCAGCCGTTTGCATTTTTTTTCCCAACCGTTTGCATTTTTTTTCCAGCCGTTTGCATTTATTATTGTCTTCATTCCAATTTTTTTTAAAAATTTAATCTTACCTAATTAACTAAAAAATGGGGCCCCCTAAAATTGGGGGCCTAAGGCCAAGGACTTTTCCTTAAGCCTAACCAGCCGCCCCTGCTTTTCCTCTTCATGTGGTCCAGTAATGTAAGTTCCCTTTCAACAAATAGATGAATCAACATTGAGTAAAAGATAGAGATAATGAAAAAACACATTGAAATTATCACTTTTTCACGAGTTTCACACCCCAACTATCCCTTAGCCTACCTGAACTATCACCATCTATGTATTAAATAAAACACAACTAGTTGAGTAGATGATGATAGTGTAGGTAGGAAAAGGGAACAACTGATAGTTGGGGTGTGTAACTCTCGAAAAAAACTGATAAGTCAGGGATATGGACATGTCATTAATCTTGAACAAAAATCCGCTTAAATAAGTGCACATTAAATGTGTGATCTCAGGTAATTGGAGCCTTTTGGTATTTGTTCTCCATAGAACGCCAATATACATGCTGGCGCAGTGCGTGTGAGAAGATCCCCAACTGTTCATCAGACTACTTATATTGTGGAGGAAAAATGAATGGAAATGCTTTTTTACTGAATTCTTCTTGCCCTCTCCTGCAACAAGAAGATATGAAAGATCCAAATGACTTTGATTTTAGAATTGCACTTGATGCTCTTCAGTTTCAGGTTGTGGAAAAAAGAAAACTCCGGACCAAACTCTTGTATTGCTTTTGGTGGGGGCTGAGAAACTTAAGGTGTGTTCACTTTTCTTATGGTCAAGGAATCTAGCCAACTGTAGGTTGTGATGTGCCTTGAGATGGCTGTTGATCTCCTGTACCCCTTACAGTGAGGAACCTCGTCCCAAGTGGTTACTCTGTTGCGTCTGGCCTATCGTTAAACATTGAGGCATTACGCCATTATATATATTGTTTTTACTCATCATTAGTGGTCCTTTCATACCATGTAGTTTTTGCAAGTAGCTAAACAATTTTGATGATTTCTTAAGAATGTATGACCAAATTCAATAACTCTCTTTGGATTGGGTTAAAAGCTAAACTTTCTTCTTACATGTTTCAGTTCTCTTGGCCAAAACCTTAAGACAGGCACATTCGATGGAGATATTATCTTCGCCATCGTCATCTCACTTATTGGGCTTATCTTTTTTTCATTGATTATTGGCAATATGCAGGTTAGCACACTCACCCTTTATCAAACAATATTCAATTATGTTGCTCGGACTCTGCACTAGTGTCGGGTCATTTTTGGAGGACCCGACATTTAATTTGGAGGGCCTGAGCAATATAGGTTGAGAGAGAAAAATTTAGAATTGCATGACCTTGATGGACATTGAGTTCCATTCTTTTCCTCTTTATTAAGTTTAAGCTTTCACAAAAAAACACTTAAAGTTGGAACTCTTTAGAGTAATTTCGTGTTGTTTTTCTGAAACAGAAATTAATGCAATTTAACCTGGTAAGAGTAGAAGAGATGAGAGTGAGAAGGTGTGCTGTAGAACAGTGGATGTCTCATCGCATGCTTCCTTTGAATCTGAGACAGAGAATCAGAAGACATGAACAGTATAAATGGCAAGAAACCAGGGGAGTTGAGGAAGATTCACTCATTCAAAATCTTCCTAGAGACTTGAGGAGAGATGTAAAGCGCCATCTCTGTTGGTCTTTACTCAAAAGAGTAAGTACTTATCACATTTATAACTATCCCCGTCCAACTTCATCATGTGTCGTGTCGAAATGATGTTTTATCTGGTAAAAAATTCAAAGAATGTTGCTCTCTCCATTTCATTTATATAATGACGTTTGACTAATTATGAAGTTTAAGAAAGAACATGTAAACTTTTGGCACATTTGAAACCTTTTGACAACTTTAGTCCTAAATATGTAATCCAAACAAGCACTATATAATGCAGGTTCCCATATTTGAGGAAATGGACGAACAATTACTGGATGCATTGTCTGACAGACTGAAACCAGCTCTCTTCACGCAGAAGAGCTTCATAATGCAAGAAGGAGATCCAGTAGAAGAAATGCACTTTCTAATGAGAGGTACACTGTCATCTATGACCACAAATGGTGAAAGGACTGGTTTTTTCAACTCTGTTCATCTCAAGGCTGGTGACTTCTATGGAGATGAGCTTTTAACATGGGCTTTAGACCCTCATACTTCCTCCAGTAGTCTTCCAATTTCAACTAGAAAAGTGCAGGCTGTAACTGATATAGAAGTTTTTGCCATCACTGCTGATGACCTCAAGTTTGTCACCTCCCAGTTTAGACGTCTGCATAGCAAGCAACTTCAGCATACTTACAAGTAAGTTTTTTAAAGCCTTGTTCCATTTCATTACAAGAAAATTTGCTTCAGACAGCAGATTGGTATAAGTTTTGGGGTGGTTTTTTGATAAACTGATAATTTATTGATGTTCGAGCAAACAAGACATGCTCGTATACAAGTAGTATACCAAAAAGTAGAAAGCCTAAAAATCTATATTTTTCTACCACCAACACTCAATCTTCTATACTCCCTCAAAAGCTCTCCTACTTCGTTCCTTCCAAACAACCAACATAAGCGAAATTTCATTCCCTACGGTTTCTCCTACTACCATAACTCCAACTGGCCATAACCTCTAGTATCACCCAAAAAATACCATGTAAAAATCTCCCACCATAATTTCGATTACATTGGACAACGAATGAGTAGATGGTTGACATCTTCACTGCATCCATACACATATATAAAACACCAACTGACATAAGTGAGCTTCCTCCTCTTCAGATTCTCTGCTAGTTGCTAACCAAGTAAAAAAACACACCTTTCTCAACTATGCTTACATATCACAGAAAATAGTAAAAAATCACACCGGAAGGACAAGTAAATTTTCATTTCAAGAAGGTATTTAAATAATATCTACGTGGCTCCAATCTAAAAAAAATAATTAAAACTCATGATGTACTTGGCTATTTCAGGTTCTTCTCACAAGAATGGAGAACATGGGCTGCATGCTTTATACAAGTAGCATGGCGTCGACACTGCAGGAAAACACTCGAGAAATCCTTAAGAGAGGAAGAAGATAAAGTGCAGGTTGCATTAGCTAAAGGGAGAACAAATGCATCAAGTCTTGGAGCTACCATATATGCATCAAGGTTTGCAGCTAAAGTGCTACGCTCCTTGCGATGCAACAACACAACTGGTGCCAAATCATCTCCCACATTACCTCTACTGCTTCATAAACCAGCTGAACCAGATTTTAGCGAGAAAAAATGATTCACTAAAATTGGATGTTCTTTGTATTCTGAATCTTCTCTATTTGGATCTTCTTTCTTCTACTCTCTCCGTCCCATTTTACGTGGCACATTTTCCTATTTAGTCTGTTCCAAAAAAAATGTAATTTATCTTTAACCTCAATTTACAACACTTTCTGTCTATCTCCATCTCCTTCACCATCACTATGAATGATTAGGAAGCGACAACATCAGATTTGTCTATTCATAATTTAAATCAAATGTGAAGCTGTCAGTCACCAAGAAAGAATGAACTAATTAGCTTAATCCCATTGTTATTCCTAAATAAGTCAAACAAATTGAAAAGAGTAAGTATGATTCCCTTTCAAGTTAAGTAGTATACAAAAGGCAAAATACATAAATATACCATTTAATTCAGCTTCATTTCATATTTATGTCGTCTTAAATTGTGAAATGAGACCAAGTTAAAAGACACATATATGTATTATGCAGATAGAAAAGGATATCAAATAAGTAGTCCAAAGTCCAAACCATTGCCAATTAATCAATTATCAAATTGATATGAAAGAGCTGGACAAAATGCTGAGCCCCCAACATTGTTCATTGCTCTGGAAATCTACTCCTGTTTGTTGTAACTATGAGGAAAACTTAGTTTATAGGGCACAGCAGCATCATGAGAATCCCATTGTGCATAGGGCGAAATGAAGTCGTCCACGCTACTTTTATCAGGCACATCATGATTAAACAATGGATCAGTGAGACTATCATCGTTATGTGGATAGTTCGTGTCTGGTAAAGGCGAAGAAGCCGGTGTAGAGATGAAGTCGGAATCAAACAGATTATTTGGGGTTGAAACCATTTCAAGAATATCAAATTCAGATATTTCCCCTGCTCCTATTTCAATTTCATGATCACATTTTGTCTGCTGCACAGCAACTAGTTCTTCGTTTTGGTTTTTCTTTTCTTGACCACAGCTGTGATTTTCTCCATAGCTTACTTCAAAAGCTAATGACTCCTCTGTCTCGCTTCGCTGGACCATTTTAGTTGCCGCACAATTAGATGAACGATTACGAGCACATCGATAATATTCTCTGCAATGCTAAAAGAAGTTAATTAACTCAGAATTTAATGATAAATAGTGTTGTACTAACAAATTGTTACCTGGGGTACTTTGCCCCTAAAATATTTTTCTGTCCATATTTTCTCCAACTATATCCATCCTCGGGTGGAACCTCTTCTCCGGATCGAGCATGTACGTACTCTCTCCTTCGTGACACTATCTTCCTGCAATGATTCATGATTGTGCCAAGATTAGGAGTTTGGGGTTGGTTTGAACACACAACACTAGCGTGGAAAGCATTTAGTCCACAAATCCTTCCTTACTACAAAACCATCAATTAATTTTGTTAGGGGTTCACAAGTTTTAATATATATATATAGGGTCTACGGAAAAGCTACTGGGTTCGTCCGAATCCATGAACTCCCACTTAGCTCCCCCTCTGCATATCACTTATAGTCTTTGCAAAGCATCCAATTTACCACTAAGATTTAAAACAATTCGTCTCTCTTTGAATGTTTTAAATCGAAATTTTAGCACATATCATTTCCATATATACTAAAGGGAAAAAGGATAAATATAACCCCGAACTATCGTAAATGGTATGCAGATACCCTCCATCATACTTTTGGGACATTGGTACCCCTGACGTCTAAAAACTAGAACATATATACCATTTATGCTAACAGACATACACGTGTCATAATCTTATCCACTGACCTGACATTTATTGAATATCGAATCGACGGATAAAATTGCACCACGTGTCTCTATTTAGTCTTCCGTTAAAGTAAATGTCATATATTCTCTAGTTTTTGGACGACAGGGGCACCAAATGTCCCAAAAATATGACAGAGGATATCTGCATACCATTTACGATAGTTCGGTGATATATTTGTCCTTTTTCCATATACTAAATTTAGTACTCCAATCATCTATAAGTCTAGTGGTGGCAAATTCTATCCAAATTTGATTAACCCGCCCATTTAAAATTTGGGTCCACCCATGGGTTGTGTCCTGTATTTTCTCTATCCATTCTCAATCCGTCCATTTGCTATCCCTAGCTACAAGTGAGAGGTGTGGTACGATGATAAAGATTCTTCGTACACCCTTAATAAAAGGTCTTAGATTAAAATTCTGAAAATGAAGCTCTCTTTTTTAAGGAACCACAGTGGGGCTATATATATATATATAGTACAAGTGGATTTCAGATGATTATAGTGCAAAAAAAAAAAAAGCGGGACGAGATCGAATACCTCTTCCTGGATATAGAGGGACGATCACAACTCTTTGCGCTATTATCAGCCGGAAATTGAGGAGATTCCAGCTGGGGCGCAGCTGATGGGGCTGCTTTAATATTAATCATACTTGATAAAGCTGAGCCGTTCAAAAGTGACAGAACTTTATCATAAGAAGAAAGTACTTCTGTAGCCAAATACTGCAGGCACACATCTTGTTTCATGTGCTCAACGTGCTTTTGCAATTGCAACAAAAATTCCTTCCCCTTCGTTAGCTCAGTAATCACCACTTGTCTCACCCAACAATTGTTTTCTCCCATTTTTTTCTATAAAGTCACGAAATTGGTTGACTACGTTCGAGTAAAGATATAGCCAACAAAAAATAGATCTGAATTTGAACTTGATATGAAGTAATTCGTTAATGAGAGGAAATTGATTTTATGGTATATAAATTAGTGTGAAGACTTGGTTTACTAGTCTCCCTATACTTAACAAATGTAGTAATTGGTAAAGTCAACGTATGTTGCATTAATTGACTATCAAGGCTTTATTTAAATTGCTTAAATTTTATTATTCAAACTCCACTTATTAAATTACGTTGCATCTGTTATTGTTGTTGGTGCTTGATATTTTATTAGCAATGCATCATAGTAAATTTGATTTGGTCATAATTAGTGTTAATCAACTATTAGAAAGAGAAAAAAATATTATTTTCGTTCCATTTTAGTTGTCAAATTTTAATTTGATACACCTATTGAGAAAACAATGATTGGTATTGTGAGTTTACCATTTTATCCCTATTAGCAGATAAATTCTTTCTTGATTTGTCAAAAATGACACATTTGAAGATATGAATATAAATATAGGCTTAGCTTGATGAGAAAAAGTAATTTGTTAGTGGGAAATTAAGTGTGAGAACTTGTTCACTAGTCTCAGGGGTGGCTCAACGTAATTGGGGGCCTAAAGCGAAATTTCAATTTGTAGCCTAAAATATAAATACACTTCATATACATATTTATTCAAAAAAAAATAATACACTATTAAGATGAAAATTATTAGTACTTAATATTGTTTTTTGAGTTACTAGTTTTAGGTAAAATTTTATCAACTCAACATTGAAAAACATCCTTTAAGCGAGACAATTATTATATGTATTGTTAACATAATGATATAAGTAATAAGTTGATAAATATTAAATAAAGATAAGAGTTAGAAGTTTAAAATCATAAAATTTGACTCAAAAAGTTGATGACTTGGTATACCTCATTTTAATATGCTTAGAGTAATGCTTGAAACTAAAATTTAAAAAGAAATAAAAAAGAATTTATGATTCACTTTGTTCAACATTTTTCACTGTTAATTCTTATTTTTAACAAAGTACAAAAAATGTTAAAGTGGATAAAATAATTTATTTTAAAAAAAATTATACTTTTAATCATAAGTAATTAATTTTTCTATAAAAAATTTAACACATAATTTATTCTTGACAAAAATTTGGGGGCCCCGGAATTCGGGGGCCTAAGGCAAAGGCCTTATTTTTGAAAGCATAGAGCCGGCCCTGACTAGTCTCCCTTTGTAGCCTTAACAAATGTAGTAATTGGTAGAGTCAATGCATGTTACATTAGTTGACTATCAAGGTCTTTGTGCATTCGAGAATTAATGCTTCCTTTCTTTATGAGAAGAATATTTTTACGTAATAAGGAAATGAAACAACTTGGAAAGAGCAAAATAAACATGAATTTGGACGGCTCGTTTACATTGTCGGCAATGGCGGACCTATGTTGTGACTTATGGGTGCTTAAGCACCCACTGCCTTTTGTGACAACATTATTATTTTTGTACAAAATTTAGTAATTCAATGAAATATATTAACTCAGCACCCATTACATGTAGCAATTTCCGAGCTAAAAATAATTGAGCACCCATGATACAAAATTTCTGAATCCGCCACTGATTTGTCGGAATTTTAGATTTATCCTTGGACAGCCTGTGTGAGCTCACTCGTATAGTCGGTCCCAAGATTGGATAAAAGAGGAGAATTGCTGAGAGTCAATTCAGAATATCCTATCTATATTCTATAAAGGTAGAGATAAGATATCCTCCCCTCCTCAAATTTCACTGTAAGACACTAAAAGTCTAGATCTTTGACACATTTGAGAGTACTATTAGCTTAGCGGCAAGGTTGTGCAAAAATCTATACGTCACTCAAGTTCAATTTCCATGTCCACATTTTTGTCTACGTTCTAATTTTGTACAAAGTCATTTTAATTAAAAATTATTATAAAATAACATATTTGTCATGTTCGTTACTTTTATTGTTAGGTTTGGCTAAAGAAAAAAATTAAAAGAGATTGAATTCTTTCATTAAAATTTAATATTTTTTCCTTGTGGAATAAAGATGTAGGGTTTAGAGCTCGAGTGGAGCTTTTCCTACTAGTTGATGTATTGCTTCGTTAACTATAAGTCGAGTCCTAACACACTTGCAAAGGGATGAATTCTAAGCAATACAACCGAGACGTGCGTCCTTTTGACTTTATTAATATTGTGAAATTAGGTCTCGAATCTAACTCACACCCCAAAAGTTAGCTTAAAGGGAGGAAGATTGCCCAAGTCCTATAAAGAATCCACCCAACTCATTAACCACCAATGCGAGACTTTTGTCATTCTTAACAAATACAACACAATATGATACATTATGAGACAATACATAACAAACATCCTTACCGAGAGTAAGTCATGCAAAAATTTGTGATCTTAAACCTATCATGTAGAATGTTCGAATTGAAAATTTATCTAAATGTAGAACACTCTTTTTGGAATAGATCAAAGAGAAAAGTAAGACAATTAAATTGAGACAGACAATATAGAGCTATGGGTAGAACACAAGAAGAAATGTTGAGCCCATTTCTTCCTTTATATTACATTACATGCTTGTGCTGCTCCAGCAAAGAGAGATACTTGGTACGTTACGTTATGATTGGTCCCCAACATTGTTCGAGGGTCTGGAATTCTCAGCCTGTTTGTCGTAACGATGAGGAAAACTGAGTTTGCCATTCTCCTCATAGAGTTTATAGACCCCAGCAGCCAGAGAATCATTGCCAGAATTATCAGGCACATCTTGATCAAACAAGAGAGTGAGACTATCATTGTCAAGTGGAAAGTCTGTGTCTGGATGAGGTGAAGAAGTTGGTGTGGGGATGAAGTCGGAATTGGGGATGTTGAATACCGAATTGGAGTTTGAGAACTGAACCCCTGTTGAGGAATTGTTATACGAATTATTTGGGGTTGAAACCATCTTATGAATATAGGATTCAAATATTTCCGCGGCTCCTTTTGCAACTTCATCACATTTTGTCTGCTGCACAGCAAGTAGTTCTTCATTTTGGTTTTTGGTTTCTTGACCACAACGGTGACTTCCTCCATAGGTAACTTCAAAACTTAATGGCTCTGTCTCAATTCGCCGGACCATCTTAGTAGCCCCACAACAACGATGAGCACATCGATAATATTCTCTGCATATGTGAAATCCACACGCGGATAGTGTAGTATCATCATACAACCTTTTGGTCAATTCATTCACGAAATAGATACTCAGATGTTTGGTCAAGGACTTAAGAATAATACTCACCTGGGATGTTTTGAACGTAAGAAAAGTTTCTGTCCATATTTCCGCCAACTAAATCCATCTTCAGGTGGAACCTCTTCTCCAGGTCGAGCTTCTACATACTCTTTCCTTCGTGCCAGCATCTTCCTATAATGATTAATCGTGTAACGTTGAAGTTTCTAACAAGGACCTTTAACACATAAGAATACTACAATTTGAGTTTCTAAAGCTTATCCACTTCATGCCCTGATCATCTGAGTAAATTACAGTTAGTCTAGGCGAAATTGTTTACATACAATTTGGTAACTTTGTATTTGGGGAACATACATATAAGAATATAATTGCTATCATGTAGCATTATTAGAAAAAAAGTACTTATCGGCACCAAGTACTAGCATCAAACCAATAAGTCTTATCATTTTATCACTTGACCAAGGTTTATTCATATATAATCCTACTTCATTTTATTACTTAACCATAGCTAGTTAAGAGAGTTTGGCATCGAGGGTCTATCAGAAACAACATCTCAACCTCATAGAGGTAGGGGTAATGTCTGCTTACATCTTACCCTTCGGTTATGTCGTTGTAGTAAGTAAAGAGAGGCTAGCTAGGTACCACTTCTCAGGACCAGGAAATCCAGATTTTTCAAAGCGTTCAATCTACCATTGAGATTTAAAGCGATTCACGACACTCTTAATGTTCTAAAGATCTAAGCTTAATGTAGCACGTATCACTTCAATTCACATTAAATTTTGTACTCCAATTCAGTTATAAGTGAGGGATGAAAATACCATAAAGGGATGAAGTAGAATAGGAAAAGTTCTTTCACTATAACCAGAGTCTCGAGTTTGAGTCCTGAACAAGTAGTCCTATTAGGTAAATACCACTAAAATCCCATGGTGGACTTTCTATGTGAATTCCGATTAGACGATAAGTAGGTTCTGAACACCAGATGGTTAAACAAAACAAAACAAAAAAAGAGACAGGGATGAGATTGAATACCTCTTCCTGTATTTAGAGGGACGGTCACAACTCTTTGTGCTACTATCAGCCAGAAGATGAGGAGATTCCAGCTGGGGCGCAGTTGATGAAGAGGGTGCTGGATGAATAATCTCTTTACCTTTGCTCTTCATCATACCTGATAAAGCTGTGCCATTCAAGAGGGTCATAGCTTTATCATAGGAAGAAAGTATTTCCACAGCCAAATACTGGCACACTAACTGTTTCATGGGATCAAAGTGCTTCTGCAGCAGCAACATCAATTCCTTCCCCTTGGTTAGCTCAGCAATCACTACTTCTCTCTCCCAAAAACTGTTTTCTCCCATTTTTTTTGCAGCTATACAAAGTCACGAAACTGACTGACTATGCTCGAACAAAGCTATAGCCAACAATAAACAGATCTGAATGTGAATTTGAGAAAAAGTAATTTGCTAGTTGTATATAAATTAGTAGTTTGAAGACTTATTTACAAGTCTCCCTGTCCATAACAAATGTATGTAGTAATTGGTAGAGTCAACACATGTTGCATTAGTTGACTATCAAGGCCTTTGCAGGGACTGTTTTGTCTTTTCACCAAAATAGACCCTTATCTCCCTTCTTGGTCATCATAATTTGCTTTCTGGGAGATATTGAACCTTATATACTATAATAATGCTATCTATCGTATCAAGCAGTAATTGAGCCATCAAAGCTATATATACTCAAATAGTATCAAGGAGTAACTGAATCACTGTTTCTTCCTCTTTGATACAATCAAAGTATATACTGTAAATGCGAATTAGTAGTTAAAAATAGATGGATATGAAAGTAAAGGAGTAGCCGCTTGTAAATAGTTTCTCTTTTTGGGATACAAGTTTCTTTTCCCAATTAAGAATATCTACCTTTAGCTTGTACATTCATGGACGCACAAACATCTATAATTTATAAGTTCTACTCCAATTTCAGTAAATGGAGATTTGGTCACTTTTTCTTTGAGATAATAAAATTGACTTGATTATAAATGAATATAACTTGGTTGGTCTGAGAATAACTGTAGGATAGTATCGTATGTAATATCAGATGGATATTTCGTTTTATATGAATTATTTGGGGTAACCATCTCAGGAATGTAGCATTCAGACAGTTTCCCTGCTGCTCTTCCAACTTGTGTTCCCACAGCAACTAGTAGTTCTTCATTTTGGTTTTTGTTTTCTTGACCACAACTGTGACTTTCCCCATAGGTAACTTCAAAAGTTAATGGCTCTGTCTCCATTTGCTGGACCATCTTAGTAGCATCACAATGACGACAAACACATTGAAAATATTCTCTGCATTTCCAAAAGAAGATAATCGCTATTCAGTTAACCACGGAATTCCCGGATATTGTAGTATCATACAACCTTTTGGTCAATTCATTCATGAAATAGATATTCAGATTTTTGGTCAAGGAACTTAAGAATAGCACTCACCTGGGATATTTTGCACCTAAGATAAGTTTCTGTCCATATTTCCTCCAATTAAATCCATCTTCAGGTGGAACCTCTTCTCCGTGACGAGCTTCTACATACTCTGCCCTTGGTGCCAGCATCTTCCTATAATGATTACAGTTAGTGTAGGCGAAATTGTCTACATACAATTTGGTAACTGTCTTTGGAGAACATACATATACGAATATGATTGCTATCATGTAGCATTATTAGAGGAAAAATACTTATCAGCACCAAGTACTAGCATCAACTTAATAAGTCCATGATTATTTACATAAAATTTATCATTTGACCTAGGTTCATTTATATATAATCCTACTTCATTCATTTAATTACTTGACCATAGTAAGTTAAGAGAGTCTTGGTTCTGACTGTCTATCGGCAATAACCCCTCTACGACTCTACCATCCTATACCCTCTCCAGACACCTGTGAAATAACATTAGGTATGTTGTAGTAAGGCTAGGTACCACTTCTGAGCACCAGTAGATCAAAATTTTCAAACCACTAAGATTTAAAGCAATTCATGACACTCTGGATGTTCTAAAGATCTAAGCTTAAGCACATATCACTTCAATTCACGTTAAATTTTTGTACAAATACCACATGGGATGAAGTAGAATGGTAAAAGTTCTGTTCACTATTAACCAGAGTCTCAGGATTGAGTCCTGATCAAAATTTAGTCCTATTTAGTAAATAGCACTAAAAATCCATGGCTGGTTTTCTACGGTGTGAATCCAGATCAGACAATAAGTAAGTTTCGAAAACCAAATGGTTACACAAGAAAAGAGAGGTGGTAAGATCGAATACCTCTTCCTGGATTTAGCGGGGCGGTCACAGCGCTTAGTGCTACTATCAGCCAAAAGTTGATGAGATTCGGGAAGCAGTTGATGAAGATGGTGATGGATTAATGATCTCTTTACTTTTGCTCATCATACCTGATAAAGCTATGCCATTTAAGAGGGACATAGCTTTATCATAGGAAGAAAGTATTTCCGCAGCCAAATACCGGCAAACGTCCTGTTTCATGGGATCAAAGTGTTTTTGCAGTTGCAACATCAACTCCCTCCCCTTGGTTAGCTCAGTAATCACTACTTCTCTCTCCCGAAAATTGTTTTCTCCCATTTTTTTTCGCAGCTATGCAAAGACACGAAACTGGCTGACTATGCTCAAACAAAGATATAGCCAGCAATAAACAGATCTGAATTTGAATTTGAGATTGATGAGAAAAAGTAATTGTTAGTTGTATATAAATTAGTTTGAAGACTTGTTCACCAGTCTCCCTGTCCTTAACAAATGTATGTAGTAATTGGTAAAGTCAACATATGTTGCAATAGTTGACTATCAAGGCCTGTGTAGGGACTGTTTTATCTTTTCACCAAAATAGACCCTTATCTCCCTTCTTAGTCATCATAATTTGCATTTTGAGAGATACTGAACCTACAATATTTTACTTTTCAACTACTATTACTTTAATGTTTTCATTCATATTTATTCAAATTTATATCTAGTTAAATATCATCACATGCAATGAAACAGGATAAATATCTTCTTTTTTTTCTTTTTACACCGAGGTATACCCCAGAACTACCTATCTGAATTCAGTAATAGGCAGAATGAAAACATTGCTCGACAAATTGAACCTGACCAAAAGTTAGATAGACTGAAATCAATAAAACTGTTGGTACAAATGACTGCCCAAATTTCCAATGCAATGTCTGATTCGCGTGATATGAACGGAGATGCATTGTGGTTTCGTAAGAAATACATTCCAACAGCTTTCTTTTTCTTCTCTTTTTTGGCATAAATGACCAGGAAATACATTCCAAGTTTTGGAAATAAAAGGTGCAGGTCCTAAAGGGAACATATTCAGATTTGTCCCTGCTTTCGGTCCACCAAAGCCCGTCCACCATTAATTTCGTCTCATATTTAGCTCTCCTCAGCTTTGTCTCATATTTAGCTCTCCCTCAACACTTATCCGCTTGGCTCTGACATTTAGCATTATGGAGAGGCATAGAAACAAGAAACTCAAATTTACCCCTAAGCTATCAGATTCATTTATATATAACCCTCTGTAGTAATGAAAAGCATATCCATAAACAATCGAAAAGGTCCAAATATACCACTGCAAAGGAAAACTGCAAGTTGGAGGGGCATATTTGAGACGAAAGATTAAGGTGAACTGGTGAAGATACTTCTATAAGCCGAGGTAAACAGAAGGCATATATGAAATAAATCACAAATGATAGGGTATATCTTTTGGACCTTTCCCTGGTAAAAAAATGAAGAAGGTTCCAAAATTCAGTAGTTCTGGTGTAAAGAGAGAAAATAAGACAGTTCATATACAAGAAACCGCAAGCGAAGTGAAAATGGTAGCATAGAGCCGCATTCTAGATTCAAAAACTAATCCATGACAACTGTAGCAACATAGTCTCTTTCGACTATTTAATCAAACAAATGGAATGTAAGACTAGGCACCGACACCAAGTGAAGATAAAAACACTACAAAATATCAAAAAAGTACTCCAAACCTTGACCAATTTCCCAAATTGATATGCCTGCGCCCCATGAACGAGCTTCCTCAAGTCGCATTGCAAGTGACATGAGCGTTGGGTAGAATACAGCATGCTGGACATGCTGATTGTCAGAGTACAAGAAGAAATGTTCAGCGCTATTCCCCTCCCACTGAAATAAAGGCTTGTGCTGCTCCAGCAAAGAGAGATACTCATGTGCTATGATAGGTCCCCCGCCTAAACCTGTAAATGTACTGATCCTTTACAAATGATTGACAGATATGAGCAAGTAAAGATTCATCAAACTCTTTAAGATGAAAAAAGAGGGACATTTGAGCTGCAATTGAAGTAGTCCAATAGGTCTTAGTACACTCCAGAAACATATGTATAGCATCGTCCACAGATTAAAGGGAAGCGAAATAAAAGAAGCTACAGAGAAGTACAACTACACAATCGGCAGCTGGCCTGATAACTTTTTTGGGTGAGATAGTAGAAGTATAGCAAATCGTTTGCTCGGCCAATCTCACCCGGTATTTGCTAACTCTCATCAGAAAACTTTGGAGATGCAAAATCCCTTAGAGGGTGGATATTTGATTCTTCCACCTTCAAATGGAGAAGAATGTTGTACAGAAATGCCCAGCATCAACAGTGTGGCCAAAACGGTAGTCTAGACACCTAACTTGTGGAAGATATTAGTAATTCTCCAATTGTCTTTTTTTATTTTTTATTTTTTTAGAACTCAAATATTAGAGATGTTTTAATCACTAACACGAGAATCAACTATAAAGTCAGCTTCATTGCACATGAATCATTCAATTTTACCCTTAAAGCCGATGTTACTCTCGTAGGTCAAGATAATGTGAAACTACATCCTTGCATTCACCCCCATTGCCAACTGAAATTTTTGTTTGCAATATTTTCCAGGAAAACATATATCACAAGATTTCAAGGGAGATGAGTAATTAAACAGAGTCATTCACTACAAAAAACTTTAGCAGTCCTTTACGGCTTTACCTGACATAAAATTGACCATCTTTACATCTATAATATCTGAATTTTCTATGATCCTCAAACTTCACAGATAGGAAAAGTTAGAACTCTGTTTAACTAATATCTTTAGAAGTTCCTCCTAATTTTCTTCCTAGAGAACAAAAGGACATAAGCCAAAAAAAAAATGGTGTTTTTCATTTTTTTCTTCTTTACTCAGGGTTGGTGCAGAGGGGGAAGTGAGGGAATATTGTTACACATAGCACAATAAGATAAACATATGCATACCTCCAGACATGACAAAATCGTTGCCATAGAAGTTGATCCCGACAAAGATTTTTTCACCCAATCTCCTACTTTTGCTGCCAGCACCCACAAGAAGATGCAAGGTGGAGCGTATCCACTTAAGAGGTGCATTGGGACCCGGATTATAAGGACTTGAATGGTCATAAGTCATGAGAGAGAAACCATCTACAGCATCATAAAGGGCTTGTAAATCTTCTGGTCCAAAGTCATGCTCTTGCAGCTTATCTGTACTCGGTGGGCCTATCACATAAACTAACTGCAGATTTGTCTTGCCATTCCTTTCTAAGTGCACAGAATGCATAGCTTCTCCAAGTTGCTTTATAAATTGCAATGCCTACACTTGCAAACCATCAAAGAAGCAGAACTCATCAGAAATCTTGTGAATTACTTTTCCATATACCCAAATTACACTCACCAATGCAGAGTTCTTCCTTGAGGTTTAAATATTAAAATTTAAACTAAGAAGGTTCTAATAATTAAGGCACTATTTACGTTGCAAGTAGTTATCTCTTTGTGAAATATTTTCCATATAATAAAATATTTCATGTAATGGCTTTCATGTTTCCAGCTCTTGTACAAAGAGAAAAATGAAAAGTATGAGATAGGATCCTTTATTTTCAGAAGTTAGAACTACACACCACCTTATAAGAACGGAACGAACTTTATTGTTCAGGATCTACACAAAATATCATTGTTCCCAACTCCCAAGTGTTACTAAAGGGAACAAAAACCAGAGAGAGAAGGTAAGCACTTAACCAGATTTCTCATATCTGAATTATGCAAGATGCCATAAGCTACCCATCTTGACCAGGACTCAAGTACAATACCATCATACTCCATTTCCCTACATAAGATAAAAGGATCTCAGAATATGTGGATGAAGAAAATGTACCTGACGTAAAAGACATGCTAATAGAATGGATAATCGTTGGTTTGGATTTTGGAGGTACGTTTTGCCAAATGTGTATCCTGTGAGTAATTGCAATGGATCTTCATCTATTACCTACTCATTCTAGATAAATATGCTTATAGATGTTGTACGTGATTCAATATCTGATCCTACCAAAAATGAAGATTATCCATTTACTATCTTTGTGCACAACTCAGGTGGCTGCAATTAACACCGGTTTAACTTCTTCAAGTTGCAATAAAATTCAAGCAGACATCTAAAATAGAGACTCACTTGCACTCCATTATGATAAGGTTGATTGCTTTCTCTCTAAGCTTCTTCTTCTTAAGCAAGTCCAGAGGAATCGCCTCCAGGACAACTCTAGGTAAAATCTGTAGATTGAGAGCGGAAAGAAAAACATTAGACTAGCTAGTAATCCAACATTACCTGACATGTTGAAACAGAATAATTAAATGAGGTAAAGATTAGAGGATTAGTTAATTCTCAGTTGCTAGCACCATCTCTATAGTCTTCTCTATTCAAGGGACCTGTCAGGAACGGAGAGCAGTTCCTCCCCCCCCCCCCCACCACCTCCCACACACACACACCACCACCACCTCCCCACGGTCCACACACACCAACCCCCAAGCCCCTTGGTTTGCTAGAATTAAGATACAGTCGTCAATGAATGAATTCAAAGCAAATAATCCAATATGGCACCCCAAATTTGACTACTGATAAAATCATGTTTCCACCTTTAGTTCTCTTCTCTATGCTCTAGTTGTATAAGTGCCATAAATTACACTAAGTATCTGCAATAATATATAGTTCAATGTGGTTGGCTACCATACCAGAGCATTTCCTTTCATTCGAATGTCTGAAATCCATCCTCTATCAGCATTATGTCTTCCATGCAGAACTAATTTACTTCCTTCACTGGCATCAGAAAGTACCAGAGGTAAAGATATTAAACAGTTTCATGATAATAAGAGTCTGAAGTGTATTCCTGATATTGCAGTCCCGCTAAATAGTACTAATTCCTATAGTTAATTAAACTTAGATTGATTGTTTTCATTTATTTGAAAGCAGCATTGACCTGGTGGTTGTAAAGAAAAACAATAAAATAAAACTAAATCTAATACCCTAGTCTCTGTTCTCAAGAGAAGGATCAGATTTTTGATATTATCATCCCATAGAAAATGTCACAGAGCCAATTGAATGGCAAGAGATCACATAGTTTCAGCTAACTGCATCACGCTTCAACGTATCTCCAAGGTACTCTTACTATATGAAAGTTAAGGTAAAACCGAGTTCACTTACTTCTTCAGTTCATACCAAACAGGTGACAAATGCGTAATTTTAGAACTGAACTTCTTTGCCACGTCATAGCCTTTTGAATTCCTGCACCATTGATCATACCGTCATGAACTGTAGACTCCAAAACTGCATCTATCAGTGTCAAAACAATTTCTTTTAGAAGGTAGCTAGATTGGAGAAGGGGTATCGGCAGTTCTATGAATTTTCTAGTAAGTACAATTTCATGCCAAAATGAACATAAACAAGCTAGTAAAAAGTTCACCATACTCAAAGTTCTAATTTTCAGGTCAGGACATTACATCCCATTGCTTAAAAAACAAACTACTACAAAACTCCTCCTAATTCTGTTTTGCGAGATTAGAAAATCACCATCAATACCTCAGTCTAGGTCCAAGATAATCCTATGTTCCATAGCCCTGGGGCTATTTACAACTAGCCAAGTAAGAAGTCTCAGATGTACTAGAACTGCATCTTTGATGCAGTCATCGATTCTCCCGAGAGGTCACAATTGCTGCGAGCAAAGATATTAATGACGAGGAAGGTTTTTTTGTTATGCTACTAATACTTGCTCTGCTATTTTGCCCAAGCCTGGCTAAGGAAGAGTTATGGGGCATAAAACAAAAAATACGCTGATCGGGCATACTATGTGTAATGATTCCCCCATTCATGATAAATAAAAAGATAAAAAGGAAAACCATCCCAAAATAGTTGGGGCCAACTATAGAAATCTCCACTACCTATTCAACTACTTATAGATTAGCTGTTAACCTACTACAACCCAAGGCGGAATTGAAAACCAACAGTTTTCCTGTTTAAGTACATGACATTTTGAAGATCACCAAGACAAGGTATTATAGTCTACTACTACTTCCATTTCAATATGTTTGCCTTACTGTCATTTTTAGTCCGTTTCACAAAGAGTACCTCTCTCCTTTTGTGTCAACTATTTAATTTCAGTTTTCCGCTTGACATGTTTAAGATCACAAGATTAAAGGACATTCTAGTAAATTCTAACCACAAGATTCAAGAGTTTTTTATTTTTTCTAAAGCTTCATATCAAGTCAAAAACAAACAAACAACAAGATGGATATTGACATATACAAATTGGGAATAACAAAACATGAATCAACAAATGCAAATACCACGGAGTAATATAGGCCAGAACAGGATTCCCAAAATGCCTCTGACTAATATTTTCCGAAACATTCAAATTCTCCTGCAATTCTTAAAAATTCACCAAATAAATAAATAAAAAAATTGTTATAAAACTAAAGAAATCAAATTGGGGAGAGTATTGAATACATTACATCGATTACTTCACGGTAAGTCGAATCGACTTTAACAAGTCCACGCTGGTAAACATAGGGCTTCTCAACATCAACAACAACAGTGGTAGCAGTGTAGTAGTAGTAGTATCTTTGACAGTAAATTAGTAATGAAATTATGAAGAACAGAGTGAAGAAGATGGTGATGAGCCAACGATGGCGATTCGTCTGAGATTTTACTGAGTCGGGCGATGAAGGCTTGAATGCTTCGGATCGGTGGCTTGAGCTGGAGCTCGAGCTGGAACTAATTCGGCTGCTTCGCTTCTTAGCCGCCATTTTTATGATCGGTACAAACTGCAGCTGCAATTTTACCAGGATGTTTTTCCGTTTCAAACAATTGAGAAAGAAACAGATATGGACGGATTAAAAAAAAAAATTGGGAATATAGTATAAAATAGTAAATTATTAATTTAAATTAAATGTTATAACTATAATTTTATTTAATTTTAATTTGTAGCAAACACTTGTTATTTGCCTCTCTCTTCCCAAAAATTTTCCTCCCCACTCTCCTTCGGCTCTCTTATTTTATAGTGTAACTTACAAAAATAGCTATAATTTTAGGGTTATTAGATTGAAATAGCTATAAGTATCATATTTACAAAAAATAGCTACACTTTGTGTTCCAAAATGGCTATATCCATATATATGTGTTTTTTCTTTTAATACAAAAATTAATTTCCCACTAAATAAGGTAAGTTGGTTAATGTAACTAACAAGGCTTTTTTCCATCCCTTAAATCCACAAATTTGGCACTTTAAATATGTAATTGACCACTACCTTTTAGGATTCTTATCAGTTTAAAAATAAAAATTATGTTTGCTCTTTCTTCTTCAATTGACGCCTAAGAAAAATACAATTCAATGGCTACCATCACAGTTTTGATCCGGCATTCCAGAAAATGGAGCGAAGAGAATTGTTATGTAGAATATAGCATTGACATGATAGTGTTGAAGGAATATGCTTCATATTCTAATTTATGGCAGTATGTATATTAATGAAAGGTTAATTTTTTGTGAGAAAAATAATATTTCTAGTATTCAGTTGATTATGTATTCATTTATTTAAGTATTTAATGTATAGAATGTATAAATGAAATTACGTATTGATTCTAGGTTGTCCCGTCACCTGATTACATTTATTCAGTAAGTGATGAAGGGAAGACTTATATCGTATGCTTGGAAAAGAAGACTTGCAATTGCAACAGGTTTCAAGTTGACGGAATATCGTGTGCACATGCGTGGAGGGTGTTGAAAAAAAACATTCTTCTAGATGAATATTGTTCAGACTTTTACAAGCCAGAAACAATATTGAAAACATATGAAGTGCATGTGTATCCTTTCCTTGACAAAAGTGAATGGAATATATCTGAACACATTGCTACTGAAGGTGTGTTGCCACCAAAATACAAGTGACCTTCGCGAAGGCCAAAGAAGCAACAGGAGAAGTCATTTAGCGAGTTGAGTAAAAGGAAGGGTATAAATTCTTATAGTACATGTGGACAACGTGGTCATAATAGGCAGTTCATGTCAAACTGCAACACGGAATGCATAGGACCTGATACATCCCACTATTGAAGTGTTCTTTTACTTAATTATCGTTATGTAGAATAAATGAATAAAAAATTTCTTATTTGCCTTTTGAAATATTTGTTTCTTTGTTTACTTGCTTAAATTATAAATTAACTTGAATATTATCTCAATACTCAATTTGATACTATTAATATGTATTGACACACCCAAACTACTGATAATACGTGAATATAGTTATACTTGATAATATATTGGTGAATACATATATAAAACAATTATACTAGTGAAAATTTTGATTAATATAACACACAACCTATAAAAATAGAAAAGGAACAATGTTCTCTGTATACTCTTACATATTATTTACTTTAAAAACATATAATAATGTAATTACTACCAACATTTATTGTATGTTTATCACTTTTAAGAATGTAAGTATCCAAATTTCTTTAAGCAATAACTGACGATAAATGAATATAATAATACTTGTGTATATTTTGATATGAAAAAGACTCTAGCATACATTTATACTATTGAATATGTTGATAAAAAAAACACAGGTGACCAAATTGATTACCAAAAGTAGATATCCAAGTGTATATGTGAACTGTACATTTATACAAACACACATCCATCTCTTCCTACCATTACATTGAATGCAATAACTCCAACAAAAAGTTTAACAAAGTAGCTATCAAAACAGTAATGCAACATGATCATATATAAATAGAAGAGTTCATAATGTTTGACAAAAAACAAAAATATTAGTTTTAACCATAAGCATTAAATAGAAGTTCAAAATGATAACTAGGATAAGAAACTAATCGATCCTAACAAATTGACTATTATCGATTCTTGTGGGTGGCCTGATCATTCTGGATGGTGCCTCATTCTCGCTAATAGCACATTCTTCCGTCTTCTTCGATGTATATTCCCACAATAGTGCGCCGTATCTGATGCGGTGTAACTTAGAATCAAGGTATTGAACTGGAATACCTTCACCCTCACTTAGGTACTCTGCAAATGCTAGCAAATATATCCCACAATCCCTGATAAATGAGGAAAATACATTACTTATTAAATAGGATACTGTTTTAAAAAATATATATATTAAGAGAATGACAACATTTACTACAGTCATCTTCAGTCATCTTTAGAAAACAGAATGACAACATAACTCTAAATACACTAGAAGGTATTCAAAAATGTAAAGGTATTCAAATACAATAGAACGTATTCAAAGTGTAGTGATATGCGATTTTTGATGGGCAAATAGTCTGTGATTTTGTGGATTCTACTAGGAGATGAAGTTGATTTAGGAGTAATAGAATTGATTTGAGGATAAAGATTTTGAATTAGGGATAATCAAAGATGGCTGAAAAAGTGGGAATAGGAAAGAGAAAGCGTGAAAAGTGGGAAAAAGTAAATTTTATGGGTATGAATTGTATTTTGCTATTTATTAATTAAATATATCCATAAACTATAAATAAAGTATAGTGTAGCTATATTATTTTAATATAATATGTAGTTTG